CGGGGGGCGGGGCCGGGTGGGGGGGCGGGGCCGGCGCGGCTGAGGGGCCGGCGCGGCTGAGGGAAGAGCGGGCCCGGTGCGGGGCGGTGGTGTGAGGGGTCGTTACCTGAAGGGATCGTTACCTGAAGGGAATGTGGTGTGTAGGGATGGGACCGTTCCTCAGGGGAGAAACGGAATGGGGAAACGGGTACGAAGGTGTTCCCTAAAGTGGGATGTGGTGAGGGTTGTTCTCTGGGGGGGTGGTGAGGGGACAGGGTTGTCCCTGAGGGGATGTGGTGAGGGGGCAGGGTGGTCCCTGAGGCGATGTGTGGGGACGAGGCTGCTCCACAAAGGGGGTATGGTATCAGGACAAAGCTGCTGGCCAAAGGGAGGTATGGTTTGAGGAGGGGACTGCTTCTTGGGGAGCTGAGGGTGCGGCAGTTGGGGTTCAGCTGCTTCTCAGTGTTGCTCTTGAGGGGCAGGTAAGTCCTTGACCACAGATATGGGAACGCCAGGGATGTCAAGGCTGGGGTTTTACTGGGGGGGAAATGACACGGGACAGAGACAATGCTGTTCCTGCAAGTGAGATGTTGGGCAGGGTAGTGCAGTAACATCTGTTCCTACTCTGGTGTCCCTTGCCTGTGTCCTAGCAGCACAGAGGGGATTTTATAGAGATTATTTTGTTTCCACCCTCTTAGATGCATCCCTAGATAGACGCATAGATGCTACATTACTGGGAAGTAGCTAATTACCATTTTCTGGCGGTGGTAGGGGGGTAGTTTTGTAGGGTGAATCAATAGGGAAAGAATTCCAGAGTCCTGCCCCTGTGTTTCTGCATCCTCAGTGCTTTAGGATACGGTCCCCTCAGCGGACCTGACTACATTTGTGATTAATGTTTGTTTGTTTTCCTGACCAGGCCTAAGTGAAGTCTACAACACCTTCATGTCATCCTTTTTTTTTTCACATAACCACAGACAGCAGCATTGTATCTGTACAAGTATCTTAGACATGTACAGGAAAGCTTTTTATTTGTAAATATGTACAATTTGAGCAGAGATCCAGATGCAGCCCTCATGTAATGGTAATATTATTAGCTGACTGAATTGTTGGGAGGTACATATATCCCGTACATAATGGTAGGATTGGCAGGAAGTAAAACCTCAAAGAAGGTGGGATTTGATCCTGTTAGGTGCTTTGCTACAAGCATTGCAAGAGCCATTATTAGCTTTGATGTCTAACTGCACCCTGCTGGTGGTCCTGATGGACAAGTTTCCCCAGAAGTGATTCAGAGGTTAAGGTGTAGTTAGATGAAACACACTTGTTTGTAGTGTATATTAATTGACATTGACTGAACTGATTAGTGATCTGTCCTGATGTAATCTTTCTCCCTGGAATTAAAAGTAAATATGTGTACCTTTAACTATTTTAAAATTACTTTTATCATGTATTTTGTTTTTACATTTGTGTTGCTTTTTTTTAACATCTGATAATATATTGTATGAAAAGATTATATAGACTGCACTCACTGAGGAATAAAACATACTTCCCAAAGTGTACTGAGCTGTGCTAGGCCTGTGCAGGTGAGCCAAGTCAAAGGGTGGATTAATACCACAGTTGTTCTCCTAGCAAATGAGAGAACAGAGATCTTGGGGCTTGAGACCATTTGTTCAGGGAGTGCAGGAAGGAGTGAGAAATGCAACTCCTTCTGTGATCGGATTAGTGGGAAACATAACACCTCAACAAATGTTGCAGATCTAGTGAGGGAACTTGTGAAATGCAGAGATAAGCAATGGAATCCATGTATGTGAATGCAGAAGAAGCAAGTGGGGAATAAAGACTGTGAATCACTAGGAAAGAGTACATAAGGCAACAAAAGAAATCTGGGAAAAGTGTTGGCAAAAATACATGAAGCAGAGAAAGTGCTAAGAAAATCCATAAGATGAAGAAGGAAAACAAAACTAGGAAAAAGACTTTCTTTCTCCAGGACTCTTGGACTAGTCAATTCTTCCCTGAACAGCAAAGATGAAACCATATTAGCAGTATTTTATGCATCATCAGATCAGTTTAGTATGCACACTTCTGCTTTATATATATATATGTATTTTTTTCCCTGCTATAGAATTAATGATGTTAATCATGGCTGCTGTAGAGTAATTAAGAGGTAATACTCCAGGCTAAGTGTTAGAAAACAGGGAAATAAGCCAGTTTTTATAAGACTGCTGTGCTAGAATGGAATTAAGAGAGGCAAGAAAGTCAACAGTGTCACAGTTCTGTTCTGAATTCTTAGGGAGGCATGGGATTACTTTTTGTTTAAAAATACTCAGTAGATAAACCATTATCAGGTGAAAAAATAAGGTGAGAAGGTCCCTTCAATATTCTGTAGAGAGATATGTTCAGTAGTTTGGACAACTCAGCTTTAGATATCTTTTTTTGTAAGATAGAGGTAAGTCTTACCTATCTATCTCCCAAAGGCACTTTGGTGCCTTTTGAAACAGGAGAGGCACAATTTGTTTCAAAAGCAGAGGCTTACATTTCTTCCTCTGTCTGTTCATAACGAAGCAGAAAATGCACGGGTATTTTCCATCTATAGATAGGAATAGGACACTGTCCCTTTCTCATTTGCATACAAGGATATACCATCCTCTGGCAGTTTGGTTTTTTCCTTAAATCTTGGTTTATTCTTGTTGATGCCTGAAACCCCTTTGTTATCTTCCAGAAGCTTTGGTCATCACTGTGGAATTCCTGGTATGAGAAGGCAGAGCAGCAGGATAGAGAGAGGATCCTTGCTGAACTGCTGTAATCATGAAGACAGTGATTTTAATTGTCCTAATCATCTTCACTTTGCTGTCTTCAGGTAAGGCTGATACAGGGAGGGAAAGAGAAAGGTGACCTCTGGATGGGTTACCAGGATACAAACTCTAATATGTGCTTTGGTTTTATTTTCTTCTGTGCAAAGAAGTTGCAGCTAGAGCTATGCCTGTGATTTCCATTTGCCTGTATTTTTCGTGTTTGATCATTGGCAGATGGTGACCCTGTTAGTTTTGAAGCAGCTTGATACACTAGTTTCTTAGTAATTCAGTGAAGGCTTGTTTCCTTTGAATAGCTGAGGTCTGCATACTCATAAAAGCTGTCAAAATGAATCAGTGTTATTTCAAGCTGCTCCCCTCTAAAACCACAACGGGTTCTTTTTGGAATTTTGCCGAATTAACATCAAAACAAGTGGAATACTAATGTCTGATGCTATGCTCAAAGAAATAAGAACTTGAATGTTTTAATTGTAAACATTATTTATTCCAGGCAATATTTTTGTTTAATATTAATAGATCGCCAGAGAGCCAAATGCTTAAACACCGGGAAATGACAATGTTAGAGATGATGTAGTGTTTTCTATTCATTCAGTCCTGGTTTTCATTACATGGTATAAGATTCTCTTAAGTTACGTAACTGCATGGTATTTTTATATATAATAATAACTTTTTTTCTCCTTAAATGTATAGTATCTTCTTGAGACGTATATGATGATGTATTTCAGAGTAGAATGTATTTAATAGGAAGAATACAAAATAAGTCATAGTACGTCCAAGATGGAATAAAATTGGAGTGTAAAGCAAAAGAGAAAATTTTGTTGATGTGTCTGAACTCCCATAAGATGTAGCTTTATAGTCAATTTAAACCAATCATACCCCCGACTCCTAGTAGAAAAGGAGGTTTCACCTTCTTGCATCTTCTTAACCCCTTCTTTCTGCTGGTGCTGTTTTGGGTTCTTTTTATTGGGTACTTAGTTTTCAGCTGGAAAAAGATCTGACAACTGAATAGTTCAGTTCTGCTGCAGTTCTGCCCAGTGTTCCTGTGCAGGTTATTTAATCTCTTTGTTTGGCATCCAGAAATGAAGATAATTCTTACTAACTTCCTGCTTGAAAGAAGTAAGATTTTGAGGATTTTGTTGTTAATGTTTATTCAATACTCTGTTCAACATAGTACATGATTCTTCATTGTCAACAACCAAATTGTCCCTAGTTCCTGTCTTTCATTGTGGGTGTTGTCATGGAAGATAAACCTCTCTGTCTTGAGGGAAATCCAGCAAGGTACTTGTCATTGCTGAAGAAACACTTAGACAGTACATTGTTTAGAAACAGAAGAAGGTCCAAGTCACAGAATTGCCATCGTAATTTTGAATAGTCCTAGATCCTCACCTCCTGGGTTGAGGGGTTTGGTTTAGTCTATTATAAAGTAGCATTTAATTGTCAATTTCTTCCAACTTAAAATTTTCATATGTCTCCTCTGATCTAAGGTTCTCTGACCCTGGAGCTCTGATATGCGTCTTATTTAAAATCAGGTAGTATTTGTCTGGAAAGAAAATGGGAAGAAAATACTATTGTAACAAAGCATGGTGTTCAGTGGGAAATGCTGTTCTAACACAGCATGTAGCTCAGTGCTGTGAGACACCTGGCACTTGGAACAGTAGTTATTGTCTCTTTAAAAAACAACAATCCCCTCTTCAAAGACTAAATTCAACAAAGCTAAAGCAACTTGATCCGCTCTTAACATCCTCCCTCCATATTTCTTGTTCTTTCGCAGGCTTAGTTCTGAATCACTAGAACTTTGTAACAGAAATATTAAGATTGGTATGGATAAATTATGCATGGGAATATGTGTGTGTGAAAGCATCAGAGGAAACAGCAGAGCAAAGGTTAGAAGAATGGCCTGTATTGATAACCAAGGACACAACTGACAGCAATAAAACTGATAAACCCTGGGGAATGCATTGTTTACATCAAGATTAGGAGGTCTGTGCTCTGATAAGGTCACATCACAGTTGACTTGTTAGGAGAAAAACTGCAGTCTGATAACAGAAAGATGTTAACAAGGTTACCCTACATTGTGAGTGCCATTCCTCTTCTTGCTATCCCAACAGGAAAACAGACCATAGCCATACAGATGTCCTTGCTTTTGTTTCCTCATTTTGGGTGACAGCCTTGCCTAAAATTCATGGAGCATGAAGCAAGGAAGATTCTGAGGCAAAAGGTCATGCCATAATAATTGTTGATTCTTGAAAAATCTACCCAAAAACTAGTTTGTTGCTGCCAGTCAAGAACAAGCAAAGAGACTTAGTAAAGATTCAACAGCAAACATTCATTGTCCTCCTTGTTGGGCAAAAGTGATCCTGATCAGACCGCTTGGGCACATCTCTTGGGTGCCTGTAAGTATATGGATATGTGAGTGTGAGTGAGCAAAATCAACTTACTTGTGAAGTTAAATAAAATAAAATAACCTCCTTCTTCCATAAGGTCTTAAACTGAGGTCGTTTTTTTTTCACTAAATCCTGCAAATCTTGACTTCTTTTTTGATTGTCCAGGGAAGAAATTCCGATGGTGCACCCTTTCTGACCTAGAACAGAGAAAGTGTGCTGAACTGTCCAAAGCACTTATGGGTCTGCTGCCCCTTGCTACTGTCAACTCGTTTGCTAGGATTTCTTGCATCAGAGCCCACAATACACATGACTGCATTGATAAAATCAGGGTGAGTTCACAGAGATTTTTAAAACTGATTTTGAGTTCAAATCCTCTTTTGAAGAAGTAACTGGTAAACAGAATTCATGGGAGAATAAAATGATACTGAAATGATGGTATTGCATATATGACAAAGTACACGGTAGCTTAAGAGGCAAGAATTAAAACCCATGAGCATTCTACTAGATGTACTATTTTACCCCAGCTAATGTCCTTGCAATTTCCAGGAAATAAGTAAAAAGCTGCTTGGAAATAAATGGACAAGACCAAACTAGTAAATTAAAACGTGCTCAGAGCATTCCCCTTGCTTGTGGATTTTGGTCCTACTCTGACTATAATGAATATTTTCTCTTCCCTTTCTTCCCTGCTATTTTTAGCCCCTAGTCAGTCTTTTCTGAAGTAAAGAGCAAAGCCTTTATTCATATAAAAACCTTTAATTTGAAAAAGTTAGACATCAGACGTTTTGTAAGTGTAAGCTCTTGTAATTGACCAGTTCTGGAATGAAATTTTCATAATGCTATATGCTTTGAAAAAAAATCACTAATGAAAAAGGAAGATAAGCATGTGCTGTAGAATAATTTCATTAACATACCTAAAACTTGACTGGGATAGAGAATTTCAGTTTCCATTTTCATTCAGTCCCAGTTGCCCTCAATGGAGTCCAAATCTGACCTGGAAAACAAAACAAAGAAAACCTTTCTTGTTGGTTCAGGGAATAATTTATTTTGTGTTTTCATTCAGTCCTGCAACCCTTGTTAATAGACTTCAGTTCCATTTTCTGGGTTACGGAAAGATTATAGGCAAGAGAACTCTGAGAAGGATTTGGAGTGTTGGGGGAGCAGTAGGAGGAAATAGGGATTGCCTTTCTCTTCAGTGGCATCAGAATAGCATTTTTGGAATGGAAGGCCCAAAGAAAAGGTGAGAAAGGATGTTACTGGAAAAGAACTGGTATTTTTTGAAGGTAACTCAGCCTTCATTGCTAACATTTCACCATGCTTTGTAGCAGGGATTCAATTAAAAGCAAAGCAAATGCTTGTAAAAATCACTGGTTACTACTTCTCAGGCAAAAACTCTGCTCTTGAAGCTGCTCTGTTTTTTACCCTGTAAACACACTTGTTTTGAGGGTTTTGCTGTTGTTTTTAAGGTGAATAAAGCAGATGCTGCCTCCTTGGATGCTGGAGATGTTTACTCTGCTGTAAAGCTCTATGGTTTGACAGTGGTGGCAAAGGAGATCTATGATCAAGGTAGGTTCATAAAGCAAAAGAATAAGCTGTACTTCTGATTTGGTTAATAAACTGCTGTGCAGTGAAAGGCAAAGCTCAAGAATTCTTGAAAAGAAGTCTATAAGTTTTCATTAACTTTATAGGAGTACGGAGGTGACTTAACAACTGTTTCTAAAATACTTAGTGGTGATGAATAAAATACCAGTGGTGCTTTGTATCTAGTAGCCTTTCTGCCTGTGGTACTGTCACTAGGACAAATTGTATCAGCGCTTGCCCGCAAGGAGTTCTACGTCTTGTAGGGAATAAGAAGGGGTTTATTCAATCTGTGTCAATTCTTATACCATGCTCTTTACTAGTGCAGCTGAACATTTACTAGTAGTTCTTTAAGAGATTAGCTTCTCTCATGACTTAATTCTCTCCTTCTCACCCTAAAGAGACAATAATGTAAGGTGGAGAATCTTGTTACAGTAAGATTCCTCTTCATTCCTGGCAGAGCTGAACAGTCCGTGCAATGAATGATTTATAAGGCAAGAATAAGTAAGTCTGAGCCAAAATCAAGCATACAGCAGAAAATACTTGTGGGACATGAATCTGAGAAGGAAGCCAAATTAGCAGATGGATGTAGGAAGAGACTAAGAAGGGGATAGTATAAGAACAGAAGTTAATTTTGTTTTGGCTGAAGAACCATGAAATCATAGTGGAATTGATATGTTTCAGGTGGTAAGCATGTTCTGAGGATAAGACATAGGAGTTCTTTCCATTACAATACCTAAACCGTGTGATACAAATGTTCAAAACTCTTGAGAAGCAATTGCATTGGATGATGGAGCTGGATGATCTTGTAAGCCTTTTCCGACAGATTTTTGTGTTCTTGCTTTGCGCATCACTTGCATTGCTCGGTTTGATGAGGTGCTGTGTAGCCAGTATATGGTAGAGTACATATGTTTCATATGTCTAGATTTTTTTTTCCTTAGCCATGTTCACAGAAGTAGTTGAACTCCTGTACACAGATGGAAGCTGCAGAATTGGGATTTAGTTATTTCTGTCACATATTTTGTCCTATCGCAGGAAATTGTATGTTTGCTGTGGCCATTGCCAAACGAGGAACTCTGGATATCCAGAGGCTACGAGGTGTGCGCAGCTGCCACAATGGAGCCAGATGGACATCAGGCTGGAATATTCCACTTGGCTTTCTCCTTGCAAGAAATTATCTTTCCTGGGATGAGGCGCAACCTCTGAGCCAAGGTGGGTAATAGGAGCCATAGGGCTATGTCTCGCCCTCAGCAAAAGTGAGTGAAATGCAAACAGATGTAGAATGAACTGAGCTGTGCAGAAATTGAAGGGCTTTGTGGATGAGATATCCTCTTGGAGTGTTTTTGATACTGGCTCTTAGCTCTTTTCAGAACTCTTCTAGTGATCTCAAAGCAGCAGAATTGTTACCAAAACAGGAAATCTTTGTGTTCTCTATGCAACAGGGAACAAATCTTTGCAATATCTAACCGGCACAAAGATGGTTTTAAACAAGCAAAATTTGATCACTCTGTTTCCAGCAAATGTTTCAAATTTACAGTTTAAACAATGTAGCTACATATGCTGATTTATTTATTTATTTATTAAAGCACCATAGTCCTAATAATGTCCATGATAAGTTTGGCCCCTTTTCCTTCTTCCATTTTTTCCTATTTGACTTTTTTTCTTTCTTCCTCCCCCCTGCCCCTCCTTATCTGCAGTAATCAGTGAGTATTTCAATGCAAGTTGCATCCCTGGGGTTGGTATTGCTGCTCCTCGACTGTGTGCTCTCTGCCAAGGACAAAAATCCTATGTCAGAGACAAGAACCACTTCTGTGAGACAAGCAGTAACGAACCCTTCTATGACTCTGAGGGAGCCTTCAGGTGAGCTCTGTGACACTGCTATGAATTTACCTTTGGGGAAAAAGAACTTGTGAGGGAGGAAAAGGCAGGTGACATGTTAATAGGATGCCATTTGTCTTTCTGCAGGTGCTTGAAGAATGGAGTGGCAGATGTTGCCTTTTTAGATCACCTAACAATTACGAGTGCCACAGGTAATCCTAAAAACTCAGATTCCTTTTTACCTCTGGCTGTGCTCTTTCCTGCATGGGATTTGGGGGATACACCTATATTTTTGTTGTTTCTGTGGAAAATTCAATCCCTGCAAGCAGTTCAGTGGTACTTCTTGGCTCTCCGTGCAAGTCGGAAGGAAACAGAAGAGGAAAAAGTAAGTGAGAAATATTTGCTCACCGGAGATTCTTAGAATAGGAGCAGACATTTTTATACAGGTGATTTCTTTAGCCTAAAGTCTCTGATGCAGTATTTGCATTGCCTGAGTTATAAGGTTCCTTTTAAAATTCAGTGTATTGAGCTTCTAGAATGTGCAGTTCCTGTATACCTGTTTTGTATTGTTAAACTTAGTCGAGCTCTGTACCGATGTTTTTGAAGGTGATTAGCAGTAGTAGTTACAGGTAAGTATTTTTAAACAAACATATTTACAGGGGTACAGCTTAAAGAGTATTTTGGAGTATCCCTGGCTGAGGTCCCTCTCTTTGTTAAGGGAAGAGCGTATCAAAGACAACTTTCCCAAGTGTGCTTGGCACACTGTGCTGCTTGCATAATCTTTGAGCAACCTCCTCTGAAAAACGTTTTACCTTCCATCTCTGTGCCTGCTGCCAAGTCATGTCTCACTTCATAGATTCATGAGTATCCCCTTGTTTCAGAGTCAGAACAACAGGAATATGAACTCTTATGTCCTGATGGGACTACAGCTGAGCTGACTGAATACAGCACCTGTAACTTGGGCAAGGGGCCTGGCCGTGGTGTCATCACCCGCCACAACTTCCAGAAGATCACCAACAAATTTCTTAGCATGATCCAAGTGAGTGGATATTACAAGCTGTATATCTCCAGACACAGGTTTTTCTTCCATCTTTGTGTGGAGATTACCACTCAGTTTGCCTTCTTTCTTGAGAAATTTATAGTTAGTGTGAACAAAGCACAAAAAATTGGTTGTTCTGGGGAAGGATCCTGCATTGGCTTCTGGAAGAAGGTTTTCATTTTCTCTAAAGTGTTCTTCTGTAGAAGGGTGGGAATAAATAAGTAAAGATGGGAAGATGCCATAACACCCAAACTGGAAAATGGCTAATGATGTTCATCCAGACCTGGAACTTACGTGAATTCTTATGTAGCTGAGGGAGACACATAGATTCAGGCAGGGTTCACCTTTGTTCCTCACTTTTTCTCAACTTATAAATAGTATCTGTTACCTTGACATCCAGGAATCTATTTGAAGCTGAACCTGAAATGCGTATTTAAATCAAATTTAAAGAATTTATGAAGCCCTCTGGCCCTTAAAATAGTCCAGTAGACAGTGAAAAATTCAAACCAGTGGGCTGGGTTGTGCAGTCACGCAGACTCTGGTAGATAGCAGTTGTACAAAATCTCTTCTTTATTGAGAGATCGTCATAAGCCTTTGTCAGTGCACTTATTAACACATCTTAGCTGTGTTCCCCCATACATAGCAAGGGCTATGCAGCACTATTCCTAGTACACTTCTCCGTGCTTTCTTCTCTTCCAGTACCATCAGGCTGAACAGAGCTACTTTGCACACAGTACTTCCCCATCATAAAGCACAAGAAATCTTGCACCCCTTTACTGCACTGATCTTTATTACAAATGTTTCTCACTCAGCTACACTCCCTCAGTTGCCTTTCCAGGGTAGGAGACATTGAGCATAGCCCAATAAATTGGAATAACTAAGATGGGAAAAAATTCTTCAAAAAAGTGAATCATATAATGCTCTTAGGACTGGAACCATCCACTCACTGCTGTACCTGTGGGCTTTGTCCCACTGTCCTGGAACCCTGAGTGCTGTGTTACAAACGATTGATATGAAGGGAGGGAAGGATGAGGCTGTTACTGGAAGGATGAACAGATTTGTTGCAATTAAAAGTTTTGTTCTTGTCCTAGCGCCTCTTTGGGCGAAAAGGAAAAGAAAGAGCCAGGTTTGAACTCTTCGCTTCAGCACCCTTTGGGGGAAAGAACCTGCTGTTCCGAGATGCCACGCAGCACCTGCAGCTTCTTGAGGAGCAGCTAGAGATTGCCTATATCCTTGGTCTGGATTATGTAGCTCTCCTTAAGGGACTAGGCCATGAAGGTGAGAAGCCTTCTAGAGGACTGTAGCTAAGGAAAGGGAAGAAAAAGTTCTCTTTCCATGTTATTCCTCCCTGCCAGGCACAGTGCCTAGACCTAAACGTCCCTTAAGAAAGAACAGATTGGTGCATAGGTGACATGGTCTCATTGCGTTCCTTCCTTCTAATTCAGGGAGCTCTTTGGACAACAGTGTTGTGCGCTGGTGCTGTATCAGTGATGCTGAGCTTCGCAAATGTGAGGAGTGGGCGCTGAGTATCAAATCCGACCCATTAGTCTGTGTCCAAGCAACTTCCATGACGAAATGCATTGAAATGATCAAGGTAGGAGACTCCCTCTGGTCAGAGTATATGATAAGACAGCACAGGGTGTGTATGTCCTTGTCTGAGCTGAACAAGAGGAAAAACAGCTTGTACACTAGAGAAACCAGTGGGAATGAGAGGGAATTTATGCAGGGGAATTTCCAACCAGTGGGGAAGTACAGCTGCTTGGTTACACAATTCATGCAAATCCTGTTTTTGTTATTTTCTGTAATGCTGTTGGCAGAGTGGTGAGGCTGATGCAGTCACCCTGGACGCAACACATGTCTACATTGCAGGGAAGTGTGGATTGGTGCCTGTAGCTGCAGAATGTTACGGTAAGTTCTCACGTGACCTTAGCAAGAAGGGAGGGAATCAAAAAAGTACCATTAAAAATGTAGTTAAATTTCCACAGTTTGTGATGTTTTGTGATGGAAGCAGGAATCCATATATATGTCCAAATACTCTTCCCAGCTCTTCCACTCTAGCATTTGGTCTGGCTGTTTATTATATCTCTTCTGTAAAAGGGACAGAGATGCTGACATGGCTCGAGATGATTGATGGGGTGCTGCCATGTAATCTGAATGACAGCAGTCACAAGATCCTTAATGGTTGTCTCTCCTCTCCAGGGGGAGATTGCGCCCCAGCTGCTGAGAGCATGGAGGAAACAGGGAAACTAATGCTTCTTAAGCGCAAAGGTAACAGGACAACTTTGAGAAGGCAAAAGGTTTCAATTTTCCTGAGATTGCCTCTAGGATTTATGTAGGAATGTATTTGCATGTTGATTTGGGAAAGAATTTGCTGTGCATGTTCAGTAGGAGCTTTACAGACAATGCCACGCAGCTAGAAGAGCTTTGTGGCTAAGCAAAGAATACAGATCCTCTACTGTAACTGAAGATACTGTGACAGGATGAGGGAGGGAAGAGGGGGGCTGTACCTGTGTGGAATACTTAATTCCCTTGGTATCACTGGTTGTTGTCATTGTTTTACAGCACTGCCGTCTGCTTATGCTGTTGCCCTAACTAAGAAAAATGCCAAACAGATTAACATCCATAACCTTAGGGGAAGGCGATCCTGCCACAGTCACCTGTATAGTCCTGGAGGATGGTTACTTCTTTCCAGATACACAGTGGGAACTCTGGAGAATGATACTGAGAACTGTGACATTGGCTCTGGTAAGAGCTGCTCTAGGTTATCTGTTGACTAGACTATGGAAATCTGAAGCCCCAAATTTGGGAGTAAAATGGAGATGGGGCCATGAGGATTTGATGAGCAAGTGGCGATTGCAAGTCTCAGAGGGTGCCGCCCATCTCACTATTTGTGATTCTTCACACTATTTAGCCCTCTTCTTGCTAGCTATTAGGAAGGAATTCCATTCCTGTCTTTTCCCATGCGCGAAGAGCCTTTGGAATACCTTGCCTTAATCTCACCTCAGTTTTCTTTACTCAGCTTATCGGAATTACTTTTGGAAGGGCTGCATGCCAGGAGCCGATGGAAACCTATGCAAGGTGTGCATTGGAGACAGTGAGGTGGAAGGGGCTCGAGTATCTAGCAGATGTGCTGCAAGTCACAATGAACGTTACTACGGCAATATGGGAGCACTCAGGTAAGCTTTTTGTGAGAGTTAGAAATGCAGAGCAATAGCCAGAATTGGCTTATTATTTTGCTGATGGTTTTCTTTGGAGGTTTGTTTTTTGTTTTTTTTTGTTAAGCAACTGGCTATGTAAACTTTTGCTAGCATTTATTTTGTTTTCATTGCAGTTGCTATAGGATGTTCAGTTGACTGGTGATTTAAAGCAGTCTTGAAAACATTTCCAGAGCCAGACAATGCTTCCAAACATGTAAGGTTTAAAGCATTGGTACTGACTCATTAAAAACAAGGGATGAAAGACAGTTAGAAGGTCAGAGAGCAGAGGTGATGTGGTAAGCAGCAGTGTAGGGTGCAGGAGGTAATTAAATAGACTGGAGACATTAAAAAAAATAGTTGAAGACAGAGGAAGAGAAAAATATTGAAGCTGAAAGCACTCTTATAAAATATATATAATGCATTTAGTTGAATTACGTTCTCTTTCCTGGCTAGGCACAGGTGAGGCTGCATAGACATTGTGCCACAACTTTGACTTGGGAGCTGCTTTAACGGATGAAAGGGATTGCCTTATCAAATAGGTGAACACGGTCCACTGAGATCTATATTGACATCACTAACTTGTTCCATATAACAACCAAGTAATTACAGATAAGAGGGATTCTTCCAGCTACTCCTGGTTTAGCTTCAGATGACTGTCCAAATGTCAGTCGTCGTGTAGTGGCTCTCTCTAATAACTTCTTGGTTTTTTTCTTGCACTAGGTGCCTAGTTGGCAATCCCAGTGGAAGAAGCTTTGGAGATGTAGCTTTCCTGGAACACTCTAACCTACTCCAGAACATAGAGAGTGAGATGCAGATATTCTCTTTTCCTTTGAGAATGTTCATTAGCGTCAGTTACTTCCCACACAGTGACCATCACTCATGAGGATCAGCTTTTACAGGTTTAATCTAGGTCCATGAAGTTGTGTTTGTGACTGGAAAGTTGCAAGAACCTTCCTGCATGTAGGTGTTCCAGTAAAGCTCAAAATTCAGATACTGTTCAGTTTTAGAGAGGAAAGAGGAAGAATCACTGAGTGCAAAGATCAGTGTGTGTGTTTGGGTGGTATTCATCCTTGGAGACTGAGCTAATTTTTGGAAAGCTCAAAGCTTTAAAAAGCAAGTGACCTTTCCCACCAGACCTTCTCCCATAGGCAGCCATAGCGCATGTACCCGTTGTTTTTTTAATCAGAGTTTCAAGAATTAAAATGGCAGATAAGGGCGATGCTGTGGGCTGTTTGTGCTAGGGATGTTCTATGGCTTCATCATGACACAAAAACTTCCTCATGTAGTTTCACAGGCACTTAGGAATAAACAGTCCAAATAGCTTAATAGGTAAAAATACTGCAAATTATTTTGCCTTTCACAGTTTCTAAAACAACATTGTTACTACACTGTGAAATGAAAAATTTCCTCTGGGAAATACTGATCTTTGCAACAGTCTAGCAATTGGATTTTGTTGATGAAAATGGTTTTGGCTACAGTACCTTAAATCCTCAATCTCTTAAATTTTGCTTACTTCTCTAACAGCCAAAGTATGCTGTCTTTTCATAGAGTTGAAGAGAAAGGGAAGCCCCATTTTGTTCAGTCTGATAAAGCACACTGAAATTCTATTTTAGGCAATTTCAGTAACAGAAGAGACTTTTCTAAGAGGAATCTCTCTAAAATCAAGTGGAGTTGTAAGGGCCTGGAAACCCACAGGAATTCATGCAGCAATGAGCAGTTTGTTTGGGGAAGCAAAGGAGATGCAGGTTGAATTGCTTTGTTTTCAGAAAGCGATCTCATTACAGATGAAGATGAGATATGATAAGCTGTTCATATGCCTTGATATTACTCTAGTTTTTAGTTGATAGGTGCAGCTTAAGTTCACTGACCTGTTTCCTCAGTGAAAACACTACCTTGCTCCTTATGCGTTCCTAATAAACGACCATGTAGCATGGAGTATTTGTTTTGAACATATTAGCTAAACTTCTTCCTCTCAATTTTTAACATTTTGCATGAGATTCACCCTGTTTTCTCTTTCATTTTTTAAAAGGATTTGCTTTCACTTCATCTTTTCAGATCTGGACAGCTCTGGTTGGGCAAAAGGTTATACCGCTATTGACTTTGAACTCTTGTGTCAGGATGGAACGCGTGCTGCAGTCACAGAATGGGCAGGCTGTAACCTTGGCCCCATTCCCCCCAGCACAGTCATGACTCGACCAGTCACTGTCACTAAAATCTATGACTTTCTAATGAAATCCCAGGTAAGACAGGAAACAGGGAAGTTGTTAGCGTGTTATCACTTGTTATGTATGACTGCTGAAAACCCTTTCAAGATCAAAAGCTTTATGTACTAAATACATGAAGTGCCTTCAGGTCCAATGTGAAAGAATTAAGAATGTGCATAGGATATTGAGAAAATAATTATTTGGATTCTCTAAAGGGGCATTTTGGCACCAGTTGCCATTCTGCAGCGGTCATACTTTTGCTGAGAAATAAGCCACTGCAAAACTGCATCTTTTTGTACCAATAAGGACAGTGCTAGGTGAAAATGGAACGTTTTTTCTGCTAGATCTTGCTGTAAAACTGAGGGTCACCAGCTTAACCTTGCTATTTATGATTCAAGCTGTAGAACTTATATCTTTTCTGTTTAGGAATCTCTGGGAAGCAAACCGGATTCTGAATTCCATCTCTTTCAGTCGAGGAAGTATGGTGGAAGTGATCTGCTTTTCAAAGATACTACTCAGTACCTTGTTCATGCAAGTCACATGAGCTATCAGGAAGTTCTTGGAGTGTCTTTCTTTCAACTGGCAGAATCAGTATTTAATTGTACACCTGCAGGTAAAGTCAAGTTTTTAATTGTGAGTTAGAGAAAAATGCAAAGCAGGAAGCCTTCTGTGCATAGCTATTGCCCTTTTGTTTAGACTGAATGGAGAAGTACATTCTAGATAATCCTGTTAGTAACAATTTTCCAAGGAGTACTGTGTTTGGAGCTCCTTTAGAGCCTCTTACAACTCCTATCCAAAAGCACTGAAACTGGAGCTCTGCAGGAACAGAATAACCAATACATTTTAGAGCAAATACGAGGTTACTGAAATAGGACTGTTTTATTCCCACTCTGAAATTTTTCCCTTCAATTCCAAAGATCAGTTCTGGGAAAAGGGAATATAATGTTCATCTGGATATGCCAAACTTGGGAAAAAGATAACAAAATTTTATATTTAATTCTTGAATTAATCTCCAAATAAGTTAAATAATTGCCTTTTTAAAAAGAGTGCATTAGAGAACTCAAGATCAACACCTTTATAAACTTAAGGAATGGCTTTTTCATGATTTTCCATTGTATGAAGTATGCATTTAGCTATCACTAAAACTGAAACTGTCTCTAAGCCAGGGTCAAGCTGTTTTGGGATCTGAAAATCTGTATTGAAGTAAATGAAGATTACACAGGAAATTAGACTTCTGTGAGTCTAAGCTGTTAAAGGACTAAAATTCAAAAGGGGAATTTTATCTCTCTTCTGCTGTTTTAGTGAATAGTATCTGAAGAATGTGTTATTTTTAAAGCTGATAGCATCTTTAAGTGTATACTTTTACTTGTTTGCAGGCATCTTAGACTTCTGCAAACACGATATCTGTGCATCCTCATCAAACTGACAGCTAATACAGAGGCTTTGCAAGGCATATATATCACCGTCAATGTTGAAAACAAGGAAATATGCAAGTCCAACCTATCCAAAGCAGTCAGCAAGGAAACAGTCATCTCTAGAAAGTATGCTGAATAGTCTTTTTTTTAAAGCAGCTTTTTATGTTTATGATAATGTAATACTACTCACGTGTCACCCCTTTCTTGTTTGGAGCATGGCATCATGTGGAGCAGCACAGGCCAGTCTGCATAACCCACAGCACAGAACTAGAATCAGCAATTCTGTACAACTACTATGGAGAAATGGGCATTTTTGTGGAAATAGCAGGGCCAATAACATGGACTGAAATACAGACTGTCATGATTGGCACAGGTTAGTTGGTAGCAGTTTGCCTTGCTTGTCTTTATAAACTGTTTCCATACAAAAAACAAGCAAACAAAAAATCAACTGACATTGTGGTAGTTGCAGCATTGTCCTCCTGTACCCATGATTTTGGTTGCAGCTAGATAATCCTTGCTGAATACATACATATGCTATAGGTTGTATATGTAACTGCTATCAGAATCAGTAGTCTATTCTGCTTTTAACAGGGAAGAATGTATTTGCTTTTTTAACCAAGGATTTATACTAGTAAATCAAAATATTTTTATCTGACAAATTAATGTATTAAGGCATCTAATAGTGAGCAGAACTGGATGCTCGCAGCCTTAAGGTGAAGGAAAGCAATAGATATTCATCCTTGTAAAAAACTCCAACTTTGAATCTATGATTCTATGAAGCGTCAAAATATGATTTATCAATTAAAAGAATTGGTTTTACAAGCAGAAACTGCCTGAACATGATATGAAGCCTTTTGAACAGAATGCATCATGTATTCATTTTGCCTGTTAGTGGATAAAGATTTAGAGTGGATGGCTCTTCATGGTCAGGGCTCATTTCAGTTTGCAAGAGTGTTATCACCTTCTGTTCCCATGCACCCTGAACCAGGCAAGGTTAAGATTTTTAATTAAAAAAAAAAAAAATTCTTCACTCCAAACTGTCCAGTCCTTGCTACATATATTGCAGTTGTATTAACCTTAGCTAGCAATAAATGACATGCAAATAGTGAAGACATGCTAGCTGCAATATAGTCTCCATGTATCTGCCATATAAAGGAAAAAACGTAAAAAAACCCCTCCACCAAAACCAATGCGAGGCAGCAGTAAAGTACTCGGCTGTAAAATACACTGCTAAGAATACCTGGTTTTAAACAGTTTGTTCCATGCCTAGCTTGTCTTTCCTGTTGTTTGACTTAGTCACCCCCCTCTTCCCCCTTTTCACTTCCTGAGAAAGAAAAAATTTGCAATCTGTCTGACCAATAGCAAGGGGTTTAGATTCAGTGCATCTTAGCTGAGACTGTTCTCTTCTCTATCTCATTTGTTCCATTGTCTGACATTGACTAATCAAACAACAGAGAGAGGATGCAAGTGCAAACTCATCTACCTTTAGAGAAAAAGGGGAAAGCTAAACGGTGAATGAAGCAAGTCCCAGAATGATAACAGAGCAAAATCCTCATAGACTGTGTTGCAGGCAGCCAGCTATAGCCCTGAAGAAGCTGGGGAACAGGAGCAGGATGCTTGTTTAGGTCTCTGAGGTGCTCCCTTCCTTTCTTTACTGGAGCTTACATGCCATCTGCAGGACCCACGCAATACTGCACTTCAAAGGGAGTTACGAGAACAGAGTGAAGAAATGTATCTGCCAGCTTAGTTTTGCCAAGAGCAGCATGCAGCTGAATAGCAATAAATTGAAAAGCTGGGTTATACATAAGATTTTAAGGGTTGAAGGGGCAGGGGTGTTGTTTTCTGGCATAGACATTACAGATGCTTAATAGGCCTTTTTGATGTTCCTATGCTTCAGCTTTGGTTTAAAAGCACCAGTCTGATGCTTTGCATAGACTGTAGTACATGAACCAGTAGCCTACTTCAGCTGTGAATCTCTCACCTCTGAATCTAGCAGGAACTGTCTGTGCTGTCTGGCTCCTATTACCTTAAGAGATGGATGCTGTATCAGCACTATGAATAGTAGCTAGGATCATGCTTAAAATCCCCCTGGTCTGTTTCTGTTCCTGTTAAAGCATGGCTATGGATGAATGAACACTAGAATTGCTGCTCCATGCCTCACTAACAGCCCACCCAGTTACTTAATTGTGTTAATCTCTTTGGAGATTTGACCTCTTCCCCCCACGTATGCAAGACAGATATATCACGCATATTTACTGATATAAGCCTAAAGGCCTTAAAAAACTGAAAGGTTCTCAGAAAAATTTATTTCCATAAATTAAAAACACACACAAAAGAAACAGTAAAATTTTAGATTCACACAATATTGAACAGAAACAAAATGCCAAGAGCATGATGGAAGCTAATGGCACAAGTGTACAAATTCTCAATGAGCTATTTGTTAACTTGATAGCATCATATAGACTTTTAATCCACAGTTACCATCCATATTCTAGAAGAGCACCTGGAACATAATACACAAAAGGCCCACCTCAAATCAAATACAATAAATGAGGATTGCTTGCAGAAAATAATATCCAGCAAGCATCAGAACTCAAATGTATGCAGCCACAAGGCCAGCCAGGCAAATGCTGTAACATACGTTAAGAAGCCTTAGCTGGCCCAGTCGTAGCATGATGAAAGTCTAATTTTTATTTTTTATTTTTTTTGGAAAGTGATCTTTTCCTCCCATAATCAGCAAATTTAACAAAGAGCTGCCTGGCTCTGCAAAACTTACTACTAAGAGACAGTACACAGCAAAAGCCTTCCAATTCTTCTCAAGCTGCTCTAGTCATCATTCTGTGAGCAATATGTACAATGTCTTTCCATGATGATACAAAAAAAATCCCCACTGGAGTGGGTTCGCTTTATGAAAAGGCAAGCGTACATATCCTTCAGCTAGGGATGGATGCAAGACCCCCAAAAATGCATCCTCTATACTTTTTTCTTTCCATTATCTGGACAGAAGCAGCTCAGAGTGGCAAATACCTAGCTTTTGCACAGTCATCACACCCAGTGTACAAGCAGCAGCTGCAAGGAACAAGGCTGTTCCACGAGTGCTGTAAACAGGAACAGAGGTGGGAAAGGAAAAAAGAAAAAGTGCACAAGCAGGACTGACATCTGTATGCTGGAGCGGGGGAAGAGATGTTTTGTCTCAATTAGCTTACATCTCTATCATCATACAAATACTAAACCAAAACAGAATAATGCTGTATATTTGGGTTTCCACAAACAAACATCTGGGACAACCTAGGCAACTGCAACATCATTTTGTAACTCCTCCAGTTATTGTAAACAAAAGAGAGAGAACTGAGTGTTTTCTTTGCTCTGCTCTCTCTGCTGTAGCTGTTAAAAAGAAAGCTAAGAAATATTATTTCAAAGCAATCAGAAACAAGACAGCAGGGAACAGACAAAAAAACCAAACCAACCCCAAAACAAAAAAACCCCCACAACCCAAAGGAAAAACCCAACACGTTCCATGTTTTGAAGCACATTAGAGGTCTGAACTTTGCCTGGACCCAAGTTTCCTCCCTCCCCACCCATATCCTTGTTTCCTTAAAAGCCCCAGTAACGTTACAGCTCAATTGTATCACAGCACTAGAAGCCTCCCATATTAACAGAAGGTGAATAAATGCTGTGTAACAATCCCATTCTGTAGCATAAAACCATAAAAATATATATCTCATTCTTGCTACAGCTTCCAACCAGTCAATAATTGGGCTTATAAACCAGCATAGGGAAAGTTTCAAACATTTTTTAAAAGCAGTCGACCGTTATTTTCTAGGGATTTCTTTTTATAAAAATAAAGAGGATCAATTAAAATGTTCTGCAGCAGCCCAAATAGGTTAACCAGACCTTGCTGCTGAAATAGTACATCAATATGTTCAAAGTTTGCCTGCCTTGTTATTTTACCCTCAAAACCCAAACACCACTACTTTAAGTGTGCACTCCTCTCTTTTCTTCAGTCTTCCTGATTAAAGATAATTAGCCTCCAAAACAAGACTGTAAACTTCTAGGAATCCCAGCACATAAACTGGGAGCAAAACAAGCCCAGATTACATTTCTTTCAAGACTCAGGCACACACAGTGTAATAATCTTCTTCCATTTCTCTACTTTCAAAGCTCTGGAATTCAACAGATTGCTTTTTAATTTTTTAGTTTTCTGTTCGGTCAGTAACAGAAGCAGCAGAGCAACAGAAGATGATGGTATTTTCAGTCCTGCATTTATTGGGACTTTATTAAAAATACCCACCCACTAGATACTTGCTCATTTTGAAGGTAAATAAAACTCTATTATATGGGTAGGTAAATAAGAAAGTGCAAGTTTCAAGTGACAAGTGAAAGAAAGAACAGACTAATTAAATTTGAGCATCCCAGCAATGACAGCTTTGCCTGAATAACTTCTATAGGCACTAAAGGACAGAAATTACCTGAACTGCAGCTAGCATTCATTTTGAATTATGCTTCAAGTAAGTTTAACAGAAGTTATCCCAGAAGGGAGCTCTCTTCCCTCAAAAGGTATAGCTGAGAAATTGCCCAGTGCTGCATCAGATAATTACAAATGGCCTTACATAATGAAAAAAAAAAAAATTTCCACATGCTAGGAGGTCTTTGTATGACACTAGCTATTATATACAACAGTGCTGTACAGAGAATATCTAATTGTGAGCTACATGAATTGTAAATCTAAAATGGTAAGAAAACCCTCAAAATGGAAAAAAATTATTTTCTTGTTTGCATTAAAATCAAGTTTATATTTTTAATGGAATTAAAATCACTTAAAAATTAGTCTCAAAAATTTTGCTGGTGTTCCCTGCATGCAGCAGCTCAGCTCAGTTAAATAAAAACCTTTACTTACATATCCTGCAGCTTAACATCCTCGAGGGCTAATTACCTTTTCCGCTGGAGAAGAGGTTGGCATCAGCCAAGTAGGTAAAAACTTTACTATTTGGGAAAAATTAGTACTGGGCACAATTTTTTCTTAAAATATTACCTTTTTTTGAGCTCAATCATGTTAAAAGGTGTCCTCATGCAGCAAATAAAGAAAGGTATACAAAGTGCAAGTTATTTAAAAGTCTAGTTATGTGGGGCTTCTGCTGCCTGAAGCCAGGAAGGGCACAGAAACTCAGAAGGAACCTTCTAAGTAAACAGAAGGAAGGAACAAATGAAAGCAAACCCAGACAGCTACTTTTAATTATTAAAAAGTTAGTGGTATATCAAGAATGTGTTTGCTAGAATTCATCTTTATCAAACACCATATCTCTTCTGTCAGGTTGTTCAAAATAGCCATTACAGTAACAACAGCAGACTCAAATGTGCAAATGATCTGGAGTACAGAGTTCTAGCATCACTGAAGGTGCACTACTTCCTCCTTTACACTCCTACTCTACCCCCAAAAGGTGTCTAAGCATAATTAAACATTAGCAATAATTTCTAGAGGTTGGGGAAGGAATGGTAAATTGTATGTGGCTGTGTTACACTCAAAACAGGGACCTAGAAGAATCCCTCCAATAGCATTTAAAAAAAAAAAAATAGCACCTTAAAGAGCGCCACAGCCAAAAACTGATCATCAGAGATTAGAACAGAGTGGTAGAGTAATGTATGAAGAAGTCAGTAGATTTCTCCCAACAGGACTAAAATACTAAAGGAGCTGATTGGACCATTTTCAGCTAAATGGCTCCCTCAGGCCTGCTCCTGATCAGCCTCCTTTGCAAAAAAGGCTTCAAGATCCATTAGCTTCTGACTCAGAAGAGCATCTAACTCTGCACTCTGTAGTGCAGCTTTTTTTGCTCGGGTGAAGCTACCCACTGCTTTGATTTTGCCTCTTGTCTTCCTTTTCCGGGGAAGAGTAAAGTCCTGAAACTCTAGAATCCGCTTTCTCTTCTGCTGGCTGACAGAGATCAAGCGTCCATTTTTCTCCTTGGGCTCTTCAAAGATTGTTTCCAAGCTCCTGGTAAAAGCGAAGGATAGAACTCATAAATACTCAAGAAGCAGTTAACCACCTTACAAGGACAGGGAGACTGGTGGATTTCATAACCCAAGTAAACACACTTCTAACTTTTACATTTTTACAGTCCCTCCACACCTCTTGTAATGTATACTTATCTACAGCTTACACCTTCTGTGTGTTACTGCTAGCTAAATAATTTGTTATTGGTGCATAGGCATTTGGGTTGAATCTCTTTCTATCCATATTTCTGTTCAAAAGCACAATTACAGAATCTTAATTTTATAGAATAAATAAGATTTGAACATTAAAAAAATGTAGCGGTCTTGATAATCATGCTATACTTGATGACAGGCAGTTATTAGTATTTTAAAGAGTATTTAGTTGCCTTTGAATTTTGAAAAAGTAAGTACTGTACTTGCATGATGGCTGGAATGAATAAGTAGATGAAAACAATGTACAAATCCACACTTAAACAGCTGCAAATTCTTATTTCATATTCTACTTCACTGCTTTCCATCCAAATAGTAAAAGATACTATTTTTGAATTAACTTTCTCTACCACTTTAAGCTAGAGCAATTTTAAAAATTTATCTCCCTCTTAGCTTTCAGACACCTTTAATGTTCTCTCTACTTAAGTAATTTACATTTATCTTAGTTTTCTCATTAGGAAGCAGAACCAACCTGGCTGGAGGAGGGGACTTATAGTTCTTGTTTGTGTAAATTTCTTCTAAACTAAATTCTTTCTTCTTAAGCCTGAAAAAGTAATGAACAAATCAATCAATCAAGAAGAATTTCAAAACTACCTCTCTTCACAACAAGCAGATTTATGAGAAACAAGTATGGTTTGCATTCTATGCCTAAACACTAATTATGCCTTAGTTAATTGAATATAGGGAGGAATGAAAAATGAAGTCGTTGAGTACCTCATTTCACACAGTGTTTTTATAAGGTCTGGGTCAAGGCTTGCCATTTCTGCAGAGGTCAATGTTCCTTCTAGCATTCTATGATGTTTTGAAATACTGATGCTCAAAAGAAGAAAGGGAAATCCCTTCACAGGTCACTTGTTTGTGGAAGCTAAGAAAAGACTTACAGTTTTGCAGACTAACATTTCATCTCTTTGGACTGATTTTAAGTTATTGACACTTAGTTACCAAGCTGATCTCTGAAGAAATGCATTCCTTTGTCAAAGCTGGCACTTCTGTTTAGGACAGAAGTGAACAAAATACTAGATGGCTGACTGGAAAAGCTTTATCAATATCTGGCACTGCGATTACCCACATTTACACTGAACTGATGTTTCCCTAAGATCATATACCACAAAGAAGGAACTGTGAAGAACTCCAACATAATTTGCATCAACAGAACTTCCTAACAGATCACTTCATCTCACTGTGCACTGTAGAGTGACTTATTTTCAATGTATGTTAATCAATATGAACTTCTTTCTTCTTTAGAGAAATCATTCCATTGCAGCTTAGTTTTTCACATTTTGCCTAAAACCCAGTCAGTAGTTCATATCCCATAGTCCTTTTCTTACTTGAAAAAAGTTCTGTTCAAAGACCAATTTCTTTCTTCAGTCTTTTATACAGTTGGTACAGCTGTGTCAATCTTTTCTTATAAAGGAAGCAAACATCAGACATCACTCAACTGGGAGCACACAAAATAGCGGTGGTAAGAGAAGCATTTATTGAAATGATTACATTACTATGCAGGAAACGTAAGCAACAGAAGCTAGTATGAGTCCATTTAAAAAGTACTGCTCACCTTTTTGGTTTCGGTAGTCCCATTGGAGTAAGGTTAGGGTCTGGCTTAGGAACAGTCTTCCTGATTCGGATTTGTGAGACTTTCTTTGGCCTCTTTTCTGACTCAGTCTTAAGAAAGAAAGAAAAAAAAAAAGTTACAACTAAGGAAATAATGACCACGCTAGTCAGCAGCAACAGAATTCCCTTTTATGTTGAGTATACATTATCTATAGAATAAGCATTCCTCTTTGTTTTACCACCTTCTTTCTGCTTGAATAAAAGAAAGAAGCAGCACAGATTAGGACTAGTAGCCTGTTTTCTCTCCTCATCTTTAACAGTTACTAAATAATATTCAGCAGCAGCCGCTTCAGGTTCTGGGGAACCAAGAGTCTGAGATATCTAAAATCTAAAATGAGCTCACTTTTTTCAGTTCTGTGTCATCCTGGGGTCTAAGACAGGCTGGAACGGAAGCATCAGCTTCATCAAGGGCACGGACCTGGAGCTCAGAGGCTGAAAGCCTGGGGGGAGATGGTGATGGTTCTGGAAGTGAGCAAGACTTTGGTAACGGAAGAGGGAATGAAGTTTCCAGGCTGTAACAGAGGAAGAAGGGAACATATGTAGATTCCTACCCAATTTATGCTGCAATAGCATTCCATGCTCTCAGGTGATGTTCCTAAATAGCAACGTGGCCACAAAAAGCAATGCAGTTCACAGGAATTGCTTTCTCCAGTACATACATACAGTAAAAAACTGCTGCAGCCCGCGTTGATACTGAAACAAGCTAAACTGCCAGTGTATTTGAACATGTAATTTTAAATCCACTCTTTTCCTTTTTGTATAGTTAAACAGTTTGCAGCTCTATTTAGTAACTACTGATAGAAAGTGATTAATCCTCCTTTTCTGCCAGCAAATTTCTTTGACCCAACTATTAATTTAATACTTTTTGTTTACAGATAAATTTAAAAAGATAGCTTTTATATCTGCCATCCCAACACTGACAAAGAATAGAAGGAAGTTTCAGCACCTAACGTCCAGTCACCCAGGCAAAAAGAACATATATCCAAGTAAGGAAACAAACTTCTACAGTTTCACATATTCATTTCATAACAAGCGGCACAACATGGTTGAAAGGAACAGAATTGTTCTGTGCAATGACCTACATGGTGTTTGTATTAACGCCCCTCCAGACTTCTCCATTACATGATCCAGTCAGTTTACTTCACTAATATTTTAATCAGAAAGCTATTCTTGGAGTGAACTGCCAAAAGCTGAAAGCCAAAATTACATAAGCAATGTCTTTCTGAGAAAGCTTACGATCCCACTACTCAGAATAAGTATCAAAGTCCAAGAGACTCACCGTATCTCATGACCTGCAGCCTGTAGTGCTTCCATACTCTGTACAGGTAAGTGCGGTAACATGGCATAGCTGGTTCAAAAGAATAATGAAAAAAAAAAAACCAACAAAAAAGACAGACAGAAATTAGGACTACACTATAAAAAAGATGAGGGAAAAATTATTAGTATAAACTGGACTGTAAGACAAAAAATGCTAATATCAGGAACGAGAATGAAAGACTCAAACGATATAAGAGCAAGCCACATCTGCCATTTAGTCCACTAAATTTCGCTGACACCTTGTTAGGGAAATAGTCCTCCTTTCACTTAAAAATGGTAGTGATGAGGAAAGGAAATAAAAGTACAGAAAGAGAGGGAGACAGTATTAGTCTGAAAGTTGTAATTATTTCTATGAAAGTCTGTATTCCTCATTCAAAAGCCCCAGGTTTTAAAATTGAAGTAACCAAAAACCTTGAAGGAATTGGTTACTAAATGAAAAAAGTGCATAGTGGCACCAGTAACAAGTGAATGGAAGGATTTCCATAAGATTAACTCCTTGTTGTCTCCAACCCCCACATTCTTACTTGAATATTCTTAATCGATTGGAATAACCAAAGGCTTTTCTATAAGGGTTGGTAATTACCATAACTCTATGGCATGGCATAAAAGTCAGCACAGCTCTAAGTCTTTTAACATTAAGCTTTATGTTTGTGCCCACACTATTAACAGCAGGAAGAAAAAAAATCAGTTGGGACAGCTTTTATTACATTAAACAGCAGATTTTGTACTTGCTGTTCTCCCAAATTAACAGCTAAAGGTACTTCACTGTTCTAAAGCAAAGAAGTTACAGCCAGACTGGAATGCTACAAAATAAATGCAAACCAACCATGCTGGCAGTACAGGTAAGTCCAAATATAAGGAGGTCAGAAAGACCCATTTCTTGTATTTGTCATTTAATATCAGAACGATAACATTTTGTTTCCCAAAATGTTCCAGTCACTGTCCCAACACTACTGGAACCTGTATCAATAGTGCATCAGTCTCCTCTGTGCTAGAGGCAGAGCTTACTGTTATATGCAATAATAATAAGAAAAAATTACAGGGAGAGAAAAAAACAGTTTAGAAATTTTGAATCCAAATGAACATTAATTAAAAAAATGACTTAAAGAATGTCTTATTACTGGCAGTGGAAGTGACAGAAGATTTTTAGGCAGGAGAACTACACTAGTTCCTTGTTTTCCTGGTTATTGAAAACACTAACTATGAATGAAAATTTAAAGAGGACAAATCTCTTCCAGAAGAAAATGGCCTGCAGAGAACTTGGAGCCACTTTTTAATTTTTCTGATTTTTAAATATCTTAAAACAGGCAAAGATTTTTGTCATCCTGGAAGCTGAAAATTCTTCTATACTGCACCAAACATACTTCTTGTACTCTTGTATTTATATACCAAACATTTATTTCATAGAAGATTTTTTTTTTGAGTAGACACAAGTTTAAGAGAGATTTACTGAATTATCATTTTGTCATTGTTCCTGTTAATACCTTTAAAAAAAGATTTATTAGTTGCTGAGAACAGGCTGTCAATCTTCAGCAAAATGGAAACTAAAATGGTATGAAATATTTAAAAATGTTAGGTTTTGTTCTTTACGTTGTTTTATAACCAAACCTTTAATATTAATTTTTGCTTAACTGTTTAGGAATAGAATTTATTTGCTGCACTTTAAACTTCTGCAAACATTCTTTTCGACTCACTGCATGCTATAGTAACTTCACTTTAAAGAAAATCTGAGAGGGGCAGAAGAATTAAGGCTACCTCATACACATATCTGTAAGGTATTTTAGGGAAAAAACAAACCGAGTTTTACATTATTTTAACTTTGGGTTTTCACTTGAAGTGATAAGGTTTGATTTGGCTTCTCTCCCTTTGGGATAAAGATCATTCACAGCAAAACATTTGGTTTTCAAATTACCCTTTACGTCAAGGTATTAAATCCTCTTATACTTTCGCTAAATGGATATGCTGTAAGAAGCTGTCTGGGAGTCTGTTGGCTTAAGGATGGGAGAAAACACGAGAGCATACGTCAGCTCTGATCTCCCAGTCCAAGGATAACATGCCTCAACAATATAAAATAATAAATTCACCTTATACACAGAAGTAAGTTTTTAAAAGGTGTTTGTTTTGTTTTTAAAGAATGGCAGCAATGTCTTATTTTTAAGTTTAGTGCTCAAACTGTAGTTTACTAGTATGATTACTTCCAGAGTACTAATTTGTACACTAGAAAATTCAGCCTGATATATTGACTCATATGGATGAAAAAGAATGCAGGTGCAACAGAAAGTGCTGTGAAGTTGTCTCTATGCCATTATTCAACTTCATTCTTTTAGTGCAGACAGCTCCCAGAATGAAGTAGTACTTGCGTAAGTTCACTCACACCTTCAGTAGACGTTAGAATTTATACTAACAAGTGATACCCTTAAAACTTTTAGGTATGTTATCCATTTATACAAAGCAAAATGCAGCATTAGTTATCTGGCAAGATTTTTGGTTATATGTATGTCAAGCTATGACATAAGATAAGCCAAATGCTAGAGACTGCCATATCAAACAAAAGAATTAATCAAATGAACTCTTCTACAGTGCTCATGAGCCTATACTCTGTCCAGGAATCTCAAGACTATAAAATCAGGGACTGAACTGCCCCATGTCACTGAGGCATAACATAAAGGGCAAAATCTTTGCTCAACAGCATGCAAAAATCCTGTAATAGAGCTAGGAATCTCTTCTCTCATTCTGTTTCTTAGTAAAAAAGATCTCAAATGCCGATAGCAAAGTTAATTAAATAAACAGAGTAGATTTCAGTCCTCTTCCCACTCATAACGAGAACGACATGCACAAAAATTCATTACCAACCTGAACTGGAGCTACACTGGCTTGTGCCAACAATGCATCGGGCACATACTATCAAGGTTTCAGTTACCATAGAACAGTCATGGAATACAATTAAAAATTTAACCGAATGCCACCCCCCACCCCTTTGGACTCTTCCTAATCTGATATTGAGCATTTTACAGTGGTTCTAAGTGGCACTTGTGGCTCAGACCTCTGAAAAAAACTTTCCTACCTCAGAAATCCAGTTGTTCTGCAGTCACTCTGAATAGACCTAATGAAGTAGCTCACCTTTCTGCATTATATATTCTGATGCATGGTGTGTATATTTTGCAAGGGAGAAGAAAATAGAGTTAGCCATTCTGCCAAAACAGGATAGTATTAAAGAACTGAAGGCAAATATATTTCAATTCAGCTAACAGACTGTTCCATAGGGAAGAATCTTCCACGTTGAGCCATTTTTGGAGCAGAATGTGTAGATTTGGAACAGGGGAAACTGACCCTCCAATGCAAGCTGCAGTTACCCTCTCCCTCCCAAAAAGGAGCAAGTACATACCCTATACATATTTAATCTCAGAAATAAGTTGATGGGTTTTACCTGTTCTCGATGCCCACACTTGGCTGCCACTTGCAGTGATTGGAATGGAGAGGAGTGATTTCGGAGGGGCAGGCAGAAGGACCATGCTGACTCCATATGGATAGTACCCTGCCCAATGAGTATGGCAATGAAGAGACGAGGTCATCTGATACAGAAGTTGGATACCTTGCCCCTTTCAAACCCTGTGCGAATTGCGATATAAATAGTCTCTGGATGGTAGGAATATGACTGGTTAAATTTCTTCTTCTTGTCCAAATCCTGTAACATCCAGGGGAAGAAAGTGCTAACACTGTGTGAAGGCCAAGCATGGAGGAACTTCCTCTTCTTTCAGCTATGGCATTTCTTCCACGGTCAGGATGAAAGGCAACAGCCCTTGGGGTTGTTACAGAGATAGAGGAATGCAGCTCATTATTTAGACTGGAATCTTCCTTGAAAGCTGTTGTATCTGAACAGCTCTGAGACAGGAGAAAAGAAAAAGTCCAGTTTGAAGGTGGTGCTGGCATTTCTCCCAAAACTGATCTGTGATGTACAGAGTGCTGGGATGTAATCCCTGTGAGGTCTGCCACATGACTGGAGTCCAATTTTATGTGAAAAGAAATTGGGAAAACTGGGGTATCCAAGAAAGAGGTTGGAGGCTTGTGGCTCAAGTCTGAAAAAAGTATTTTGGTAGATTCTACAGGATAAAGTGCCAAAGGCTGAAAGCTGAACATCTTGGTGCACCAACTGTCAGCCCAGCGTGAATGTAAGTTCCTGTTAATGCAAGAAAAGGCTTCCAATAGATTTTTAGATGTACGTTGGCTGTGCCTCTCACCCATTGGAAGAATTTCAGAAGAATATGGCAGAGGGTCTAGGTTAGGGATGCTTCTGGCAGGTGCCAGGAGCTTGCTAGCCGTTGCAGTCAGCTTGCTCAACAATGCTCGTTCTTTGGTACATTTTCTAAATTTCAAGCTGTTCAACAAACTGCACCTCTTGTCCCTCTGCCTTGGCATATGCACAGATCTCATGGCTGTTTCAGTTTCCATTGTCGGTGGTTTACATGGAAAGTACAAAGATTTGAGAAGTGTGTTTTCCTGTTTAGGGAATATTTCCGGGGGAATTTCAAAAAAAGGTGAACTTTTAATTTTTTTGCTTTTTCTTACAGTATTTAGCTGATATGATGTGGGAACTTTTTTGCACATCCTTCCAGGCTGTCTTTTTAATGGAAGAGGTCCTCTTAGTTTATTTGTAGTTCCAAAGGCACCAGGGATTCCATCATACCCTAAATTAAGGTTCAGGTTTTCCATTTCTGAATCCTGAGTCTTCAAAAACTGTGAACTAATAATATCTGTGGTAATCTTTGGCCTTTTGACTTCTTGTAAAGTGCTACATAGTTTATTTTCACTGCTTCTGACAGCAAAGATCTCCTCTGGAGGACCTTCAGACTTCATATTTCTTGATGTCACCAGGTGATTTGAAGAGCTGCACAAGAGTTCAGAACTGTGCAACATACTTGGCTGCAGTGTGATTTTTGCTTTCTTTTGGTATTCTGACTTCTGTTCTTGTTGTGCCTTGTCTGACAGATGTGCTTCCACCTTTTCATATTTCTTCTTTCGTTTAAGTACCTGACATTTTTCTATTTGATCAAGTCTCTCTGAACCTAAAGCCTCCTTTTCCTTGCAAACTGAACGAGTTGGTATAATAGCATCCTGGCCTTCTGTAATCTCCTTTACATTACCTTTGCTCTGTGCAATTAATTTGTAAGGCACACTTACTCCACTGCAAACCACACAGTTTGGGGATGATTCTTTGCAACTGTTTGATAGTATACTCATACGTGGATAAAATGCAGGTGCTGTATTATATTGCAATTCTGGTGAAGTTTCTGCATCAGACGCATCTTCAGCTTGACAATCACGCATAGTTTCTGAAAGGAGACTGGTACCTGCTAAGTTTGTGAGCTTTGTATCATTTTTTCTTTCTTTTGAAAGATTACTTACGTTAGATCTTGGGATTTCTTCCAAAACCTTTCCATAATTCTCAGTACTGAGAGGGACTATTTTGTTGCCAGACTCTTTTGAATCTTTTAACAAGGCCCATAGAGAATCTTCTCCATCAAGAAAAGAATCTATGGGCAACTTTTTTCTAGGGACTACTTCTCTTCCCATCTTCTCTTCTACACATGTATTCATAAACTTCTCTCCACAGTGAGTACTTTCTGGTGAGGTCACATCCATGTCTTTTACAGTTAGCACGCTATGCCCCTCATCTCTCAGACTTTCTTTGCTGTGTGCACAAATGCCTGAGCTTTTTGCACCATTCCGAAAGCTAGTTGCCGTTTCATTCTCTGAAGATGGAATCTCAGTATTGCTGGCTTTTCTCTTAACAAACGTTGTTACAGAAAGAGGTTTTGTCATGGAAGAATCTTTCCTAAAAACTTCAGCTGAAGGTGGATCACAATTATCTATTTGTGTGTTCTCAGATGACATACACAGCTTTTCTTTCTCAGGCAGAGAGATTCCCAAGTTCAGAGCTGATGGTGTTTCTGAATCCGCCTGAGTCTCATTAAAAGATTCTTGGATGTCAAATTTTTCGAAATCGGATGGACCCTTTTGAGCATCAGTTTCTTTACCAGACTCAAATGTTAACTGTGGGCAAGGGTTATTTAAGATAGATTTTATTCTCAGACTTTTTTTGTTTTCTGTCTCTGAAAATACATTCATATTTTCTGGCTTATATAACAGACTCGCATGAATTGATGAGAAGAGCGAAAATTGGGCACTAACTGTATTTTCCTGGTTCTCCACCAACCACTTCATCTTTGGCAAAGATTGCTGCATTTTGTTACCTGCAAATACTAGCTCTGCTTTCTCTTTTTCAGATTTGATAAAGCAAGCATGCTGTGAGCAATGTGATTTGCTATCAGAAAAGCTTTCTTCAAGAGTTCCTTTATCTTCTCTTTCACATTCTTTCTCATGTTCTTTTAGTTTGATTGTCTTCTCTTCAATTAGATCACTGATGAAGCCCACATATCCTGAACAGTCTTCATTTCTCACACCATTTAAAGAGTCCAAATCCACTACATTCTCTTTTAGAGTTCCTTGAAAACTGTCTTCTCTTGCATATTTATGAACTAATGGAGGCAGGTTGTCACTTGTTTTTAATAGTATCTCTTCACTTTGACTAGTGCCAATTGATATTTTGGTTTCTTCCACAAAAGTAGCCGTAGTTTGTAAGCCAGTGCTTGGTTGTTTGTTTAAGGTTTCTAAATGCTGCTTGCTGCCTGGAACTCGGCCATCAAACTCACTCTGACATGCAAGACACTGATTTTCCATTGGACGAAGGGTCTTTTCTGTTTGGCTAGCAAGTTGTGTTTGAATATTCATGTTGTTGAGTAATGGACATGTATCACAGGTTGAAGCACTACACTCAGAGGGATTAGCTGTGAGTGATGACACTTCTTTCTTCTCATATGTGCCTAGTTCTCTCTTCTTTGGGCCTAATGGAGAGTTGCAAAATCCAAAATTATGAACACAGGTTTTTTTGTTCAAGTATCTGACTAGTAGCTGTTCACTAGTCTTATTTCTCTGATTGCCTTCAGGAGCCTTTGGAGAATCCACAGTTCTTATTTTATCAAATTCATCAGTCTGGAGAGCACACATGCCGATTTGTTCTTTTGCCTCATCTCTGTCACAAACAATTTCACTGCCATCTGTTACTTTACAAAGATCAAATTGTTTCACAACCTCCATACTCTTATTTGAAATCTCATCTCTTACCAAGGTAGCAAGAGACTTCTCTGCAGTATAAGCTGAGCAAAACATGGGTTTTGCTGTGGAAATGTCATTTATCCCATGCAGATCTACACCTCTGTTGCCCCAGTCATCTTCACAAGGAAGAGATCCACATGCCAAAGGGAAGTGTGCTTCTGGAAAGATGATTGCCTTTTTACTATTATATCCAGCTGAAGCTTCTCTTTCCAAATTATCAGTTTCTTCGATCTTCTTATCAACCTCAACATTAAAAGAATGACTGTTTGGGAGAACATTATCTACATGTGTACTCCCTGATAAAATACAGGAAGTACTGGCAGCTGTACACTGGTCTTCTATACTCTGATTATTACAATTCCATGCGTCACTATGTTCATTTTCTAAACCACTGACCACAGTCTCTATATTTCCCGCTGAAGACTTCATGTTCTTTTGGGAAATTTTTCTTGTCATATTAGGGTTATCAAAAGTCCTGGAACTTAATGAGGACTTAAATTTATCTTTATGAAGCACAACTTCAGTGACTTGTTCCCCTGTTGTTCCAGAAGCATCAACTGACTCTTTTCCAGATGGATTATCCTGAGCCTCGTCCCTGCTTGAAACTTCATTATTAGTACAAGGAGGACACTCATTACGATAAGGTTCTCTTGATTTTTGTGCAACAGGAGATAGAGTTACATTTAGTGTATAAATCAAATTAGTTTCTTTGCCAGTGGTCAAACTGTCATTACTATTAACTTCTGTAGCTTCAACTAAACTGCCAGCCAACTCTTCTGATGTTGTATTACTTTCAGATTGCTTTTCAAGCACTTGTGCCTCAGGTGCATCTTTTTGTAGCTTGGTACCAAGATCCAGACAGCTGTGGCTACTGGGAGGAGAAATTTTACTGGAGGTATTATAAAAGCATATGTCTGCTTGTCCAATTTCACAGGAAGCAATGTTGCTCGTTTCCATCAATAGACTATTTTCTTTTGTATCACCCTTGCATACGTCACTGACAGAGAATTGCCCCTCGTCCTTTTTCACACCTTCTGATGGGACCATTTTAAATTTTTCTTTTGAGAACTCCTCAGGAGATGAAGAAACAGAACTAAAAACTGAAGAATGACAATGCTCAGAATTAGCACTTTCTTGAGCTTCAGGCCAGCTACGAACTTCAATGTTATGTCCCCCAGCAATTTTTGTGCGGACTTCAGCAGCTTCTTCAAATTCAGAGCTGTATGATTTACCGATACTAGCACTTACTTCCCTGTGATCAATTTTAGCACTACACAATCCTTTGCTCCTTACCACTGAAATCTGCTCTACTGGTACAGATGTGGAGGTTTGATTTTCTACAAACCCAATTCCACGATCATAATGAGTCTGACTTTCGATGTTTTGGGGAAGATACTTTTGGGGGGTTTCACTGATAATTCCATGGACTGCAGTACTATTGTTTTCTAGTGGCGTATTTCTGAAGTCCAGACAACCGGTGCTTTTCAGAACTGAACATACAACTTCAGAACTTTTTGTGGAGAGTATTCTACAGCTTTCTACTGATGACAACCTATGAGGTTCATTATGTTTAGGTACAGGACCAGTACAGAAGTCATGAGCATTGTTTTCTTCATCCTGCTTAGCAAGTGATGTACTGAATTCATTAACAGGATTTTTTCTGGGTAACTTTTCTTCTCTAGTCTCCAAATTAGATACAACATTACCCCCTGTTCTCAATGGCATGGCAGTATGGGCTTTCAACCCATTATATTCATTTTTTTCTTGTGGATGCTCTGTGGCCGATTCAACGTCCATGACTTTTAAAGGCTCTAAAAAAACTAACGTGCTGGTTCCAGAAACCCCAGCTCTGGCCATGACTGTGTCTACGTCTGGGCATTCATTGCGCTCAGGTGGAAGACCTTTACTCACTCTGTCATTCCTGTATCCTGCTTTACTAAATATCCTAGTCCCATCAGCCTTCATACCTTGTACTTCTTCAGTGAGCTTTGGCAGAGTTTCAGCTGTCACCTGAACATTTGCTTGGTTTTCTCCTGCATAAGAAAAATAAATCAAATCAGAACCATATACTAAATTTAGAAGGCATTCAGCTTAATAAGTTCCTTTTAGTATTGTACAGAATATTGTGTACAGTGTTGGTTACCAAAGTGTTTTTAGAAGTGAGAATTGATGCTAGAAATTCTACTCCAAGCCTTTAGATGAAAAAACAAACTACCCTACCACAAACCTAAGGTAACAAATGCAATCCTTCTCAATACAGACATTCCCCATGAGCAGCAGGCATCCAAAGACGTACTGAATTTTTCAGATTCCTCCAATATCGAGCTAGGTGCAATGCAGGTCCTATAACTCAATACATAGGAAATCATGGCCAACATCGTAATGCTTATTTGTAACATCAAAGCTCAACGTAGCTGGGTACTTTATCTGCTCTATCCTAGAAATATGGCGGTGCATTGAGCAGCCATTTCCATTTCTTCTTCCTTGAAGGCATTTTTGTCAGTAAGTCATCCATAGGTAGACAATGCGTATCTCATTCTGTCCAAGCAATTATGATTATTACTAAACTTTTTTTGTAAAATCACAAAGAAGGTACTAATTAAAAAAATTACAGTTACTGCAGAATATCTTCATATTCAAAACTTTACAGGGAGCATATTTGCTCAGACTTCTGAAGATCTTTTTCATATTTTCTAAGGACCAAGACTAGATGGTATTCTTCAACTAAGTACAAGTTTTGGTTATGAGAGCACATTAGGAGAAAGAAAATTACTAGATGCAGGCAAAGTGACCAAAGTATTTGGAGCTAGAAGATTATGGATCATAATGAAATCAAGAATGAGTTTTGTTGTCCTCTTCGTTTGGATTCTGCACTTTTATTTTTTAAAACATTAGAAAATTAATGAGTCATACTTTTTCACATCTTTGCTATTACTGCTCTCGTATAATCCAGCTTTGAAACAAAAGGAAATGCAAAACATCTGCTCTTAACAACACCTTCTGCTTTGGGGTAAGTAAGTATTTGAATTAAATAACTAAAACACATCTTGTACATAAAAGGTCTTCAGGCAAGTACACGTGCTGTCAGGAAAAAGCACAGGATTAAGTTTTCATATTGTTCTAGCTGTGCAGGGTAATAGTTTCTACTGTAAAGCAAAATAAATGAGCTATCCCACAATCACTCATCAATTTTAAATTAAAAAAGTAACCTGGGAGAGAAGCAGGGGGTAGATAGGGATGTACACTAAAATACGCACCTGTGTTCTTCAGAGATCCTGTTATTTCAGTGCAACAGGTTCTCAAAGACTTCACCTCATCCTGGTTTAAGTGAGGGTCCTCCTGAAACAAGACAGAAATATCAGTGGAGATTGATGGAATTTCTGAAACGTTTAGCACATTTCAGGGACTGTACCTGCTCAGCTAGGTTAGCTCTGAACAAGAAAACCACCAAGAAACCTCAGAACATATCAGCCCTTGCACAGAGGCAGCCTTGCGTTGCAAGTGGTTCACACAAGCACTTGTCATTCCTTTCTGATCCTATCAATCACTATCATCTCACCATTAAACAACGATGCATCCAGAAAAGATTTGTATTTAGCAGCAACGAAGTCTTGCGATGCATCTAAAATATAAGTTGCTTAAAATGCAAATTGTCACAAATTTGAATCAGAAGAATAATCCAGTCTCCAAGTCTATCTCGCATCCCCAAACCATCGTTGTATACCTCTGGTAAGATGCATGCATTTTCTGATCTTTATTAGAACTTGCTTTCTACCACTCCTTCCCTTGGCTCAAAAACACAAACCCAGGAACACATGACCTAGGTCTACTTGCAAAAAAACCCCAAGCCAAACCAAACCAAACCCCACAACCAAACTACCTGCATTTTGAAATACGCGACAATTCATCTTGGAAAACTGAATGACTATGAAAAATTTAATTATTTTCATAAACTTTCAAATAAATCAAACAGATACCAAAATCCAGAGTTAAAACCACAAAGTATTTTGCAATATCCAGCAATTAGTGTAAAACATGCACCTATGTACCTTATTCAGATATTTCCTGGCTGGTATGTGTTCAGTCACAATACTTTTTTTCCTCCCCTATGTTCTTTTGGTGTGGTGAAAACTATTTACAAACTAAAGAAAACTGATCAAGAAAGTCACTAAAAATCTCAGTTTTTAAATAGAGAGTTTTGTGACTCTTCAGTTTTTAATAGAGTATTTTTGGCACATTTTTCAGAAGCCTTTTCCTAGAAATAACATTTTACCATCAGTGTTTGCTAGAGGGGAGGAAAAAAAAAAAAAGCCATGACCATGTGAGTCTCCTGTTTTGAAAGAGGAAACTAACAAGAGATTTTCTCTCTAATTACAAACAATAATTCTAAAATGAAGAATAATCTTTATTTTTAGATTAAAACCTGAAATACTAAACTGGAGCCCCCTGTAGCATTATAATACTGTTAGCAGACTGAAATAGCTATTATTTAGTGGTTAGTACCTTGACTGGGGATGACGGTACCAGCAGAATACGCTGTACCCACAAAACGTGGATACTGGGCAAAGAGCTTTTGAAGTTGTTTCTCTTCTCCTTTTTAGTCACCAGTCAGTTTTGTTCTTCATTCTGTTACATACCTGCCTCACACCATTCCAACAGTATTTAAGAAAGTGAAAAGCTTGATATTTTAAAATAGGGCTGGTCTACTGAGGTATAGTCTAATTTTTCACTGGACCCATGATAATCCAAATAATGACACACATGCCAGAAGACACAAATAAGAAACAGGAAACCACATGGACAAAGTCCTCTGCCTAGTCACTCTAACCCTAAATTCAAAATATCACGCAGGGATGAGTTTTTGCATTTGCTTACTTGTTTTGAACAACTTTCCCCAGGTCTTAAAGCACAGCATTCAGCGTGATACTCCTCAGCATCTTGTGCCTCTTTGTCTTCTTTCTGGTATCCATCCCTAGAACAGTCTAGTTTCCTAAAGTTTCTTTTTTTGTTTTCTTCATCCTCTTCAAGATCTCCAGCCTTTAGTAATTCTTCAGTAAGGGATTCTGCTGGCCCATGAGAAATCACCTTGAGCATATCACCCAAATCCTCTGTCTTTTGGCAAAACTTTTCTACTCCAGAAGTCCTATGATGCCCAGCTGACGGGCTGTCACTGCGTGCCAGCACAGGCGTCGATACATCCGATTTTGCATCTAATCCAACGTTAGGCTCCGATACAGCCATAAGTTCAGTGGAGATGCTCTCTGGCAGTCCAGTGTACAATTCCTCTATTACAGCAGACACAGAAGAATCAAGGAGAGATTCCACCCCAGATGATAGCATCAGGGCAGCTGAAGATTGGTTGTCCTGAGCTGTTCACAGTTTACCCTAAAAATAAAAGCAATGTTAAATCAATGTACGTAGGAGTAAGCTCTAGATTAAAAGGAAAAGCTTCATTCTTCAAGATTCAAGCATATATGTTTAAGAAAGATACTTCCAAGTAATTTTTTTAAGAAAGGAGCTGAGAAAAGTTTGAGTATCTAAGCAAACGCTTCATTAACAAAAGAAGAGAGTGTGGACAAACAGATATTCCCGAGCCTCATTTTCACATTCAAACGCCTCCCTGCAGATATAACCATGTCTTCTGGAAAACCTGAAAAGAGACTATAAAGCAAATCGCTAGGGCTTGTATTAGACATCCTTCTCCTTAGCTAAAACTAAAGCATCATTTGTTTTCCTGGGGTTTTCTTAAGTTTTTGCTCTTTGGAAAAAAACCCATCTTTTCTTTACAGGTTTTCTGCCTCAAAAGAACACTTCTAAGACATCATCCACCCTACACCGTGCCTCGTAGCTTCTCTCATACGAGCACCTGCCGCGCCGTACGTAGGATGCGTTGGGCCAGCACCGCTTTTCCGCACACAGCCCCGGTACCGGCGTCGGGATCCGCTTCAGCCCGGAACGAAATGCGCTGGTGCCAGCAGCCTGCTTTGCCAGCGAGAGCTCAGAGCTGCATCCCAGCAGAGCGGCGTTCCGACTGACCCGACCCGTTGTCACGACGAGAACGCGACAATCGAGGGGCTCCTGAAGACGCACGCGTAAACAGGAATGGGCCAAGCCAGGGTTTTACAGCAGCGCCAAGTTACTCGCTTTACCAAAACACGGGTTTATTAGCCCGGCCTTGATCTCCCTGCTCCTTAAGCAAAGCCAGCCTAGAAGGAAGGAAGCTCCGCTCGCCCCAGCCCGGCGGGGAGGCAGCGGGACAGCCGTCTTCAGGAGACGATCCCCCTTTCTAGCGACACGGACCGGTTCCAGCTGGGCGCCGGCCTCCTTTGTTCCAAGCACCGCAGCAGCGGGGAACGGGCTCAGCCCCGAACCCCTCTCCTTCCTCCGGAGGCGGGAGCTCCCGCTTCTTCGTCCCCGGACAGACGGCGGACCGACCGCAGGCGACAACCCTTACGCCCCGGCCCCGAGGCAGCGCACCGGAGGAGGCCGCCGCTCTCGGTAATTACGCAACCGCCGGTGTTTCCGCCGGTGCTGGCAGGGAGCGGGCTCGGCCCCGCAAAACCCCCGCCGCGCCCGGGCAGGGCCG